TCCACATCGACCTTGTGGCTGAAAGCCCAACTTCTGGCCCAGCCTCATCAGTTGCTAGCCGCACATCGGCTGGGGCTGTGTTGACCCTGACGACAATCCGCAAGGTTGTGTGTCATGTCACCCCTGTACATATTTTGCAAGCACTCTTATTTATTTATTTATTTTTGTTTCAGGAAATCTTTTTGTGTGCTTGTGGATCAAGCTTGATCCCTCAGGTCTTGGCCGTTGTGGCTATTGTAAAAGTAGCTAGGCTCGAGCAGAGCCAAAATACGTTGTGCAGGTCAAGCCCAATATTAGCTGTCGTGGCTATCAGTTGTGAATGCAGCTGGCTTCAAGTGGAGCCAGTGTGCAGTGTTGATGCTGATATGTTGTGTTCTAGTAGGAATGTCACAAAGACACGTTGGTTGCGAAGGTAAGAGCGTGGCATTGCTGCATGGCCGCGTGGCTAGCTCTAATGGGGCTGGCCTTTTATTGGGAATGTATGCGACAGCATAGATGGCGTTAGGAACCATACAAAACAAGTCATAACAGGTCCAAGCCACCCAATTTTCTGGTTGCTTGTCCCTGTGTTTCTTTCCAATGGTGAAAAGACTACTATGCTAAGTATCAGATGTGCTTGTGGTGATGCAAATTTAGGGGGTATGCTTGTCAGTGCTCATTGGACACCATATTCAAGTTTACGGCTCAGGATGACTTCTTATTGATATACAAAAAAAGACATTCTTCGTGTGGGCAATGTGCGTGTTGCAATTGTTGTGGAAGCTTGCCGTCGGCATTTGCTCAGCAGCAACGAGCTCAGCTATGGCCACCAGTTGTCAAGGATCTTTCTCAGTTAAGAGTTAAATAGTCCGAGCAGTAAATGTCGTACCGTTTAATCGGCCGTTCTTATAGTTCAAGGTATACAACAAAAAAACCTCCTGCCTCCTCTGCTGCTGCGTTGTTTGGAGCCTTGTATGAAACTTGTCTGTAGTATTGCACCACAATGTCATGAGGCATCGATGTGATGAGGATATCGCAAAACATGGCCGCGAAACTTCCGGTCGGCACGTTTAGTGAGTTGAGAGCTCGAATGTTCAGCTGCATAGTGTCGTACAAGTTCCTCAGACCCATGGTGTCTGTAGAAGATCGAACACGGGGAAGATTTCGAAGGGCCGCCAGGTGTACTTGCTCTATCCTCTTTTGATCACCAAAACGTTGCTTTAGTAGTTGAATGGCATCAGCATAGCACGCTTCCGTTGTGGGTAGCCCTGCTATTGCAGCTGCTGCGTCTCCAGTCAAGTAGCGGCGCAAATAATGAAATTTATCCATCGTTGACAACGTGCGATTTGAGTGAATTGTTCCTTCATACTGTTCCCAAAACGTCTGCCACTGGGTGACGTCCCCTCTGAAAGTAGTGATGTCCAGTTTTGGTAGTCTGGATCCACTCATCCTGAAGACTGTGTCATGCGCATTGGGCGTAGTTGTTGCTGTCGCCTGAACCATGGGGCGTCTACTGTTCTCCAATTCCGCAATCTTGAAGCCAAGCTGCGCAATAAACATGACGGCATGGCCTTGACATTCGGCAGCAGCAGCGTACTCGTCCTCCAACTCTGCTGATAGCAGCGGCTCTAACTCCTCGTTAATTCTATCAAGCTCCGCGTTGCTCGTAGTCAGGCGTTCTTTGAATCCGATGAGCCTGCTCAGGTCTATATCAGGGCTGTTCAGCAGTGTGGTAGCGTCGTTTATCATCCTGGTATTTTGCGATCGTCAAGTGGTACGCTTCGCCTTCAGTCTGTCCATTGTGATTCGTTAGAGTCGATTGGCTTTCGCTTGGTTGGCAGGAATCCCTCTTGAAAGATCTTCGCGTTACAATCCCGATGATTTGCCTCTGTCGTTAAAGTCTCAGAGTTCCACTGTTAGGGTTAGCAACGAAAGTCACCAGTAAATGGTACATTTGCAGCTTCGTCTGGGCTCGGAGGTGATGTCGTGAAGCAGTTTCCCGGGTTTCGGCTCCAAAATGTCGAGGATCCTTCTCAGTTAAGAATTAAATAGTCCGAGCAGTAAATGTCGTACCGTTTAATCGGCCGTTCTTATAGTTTAAGGTATACAACAAAAAAACCTCCTGCCTCCTCGTCGTCTTCCAAGTATCGCTGTCGTTTTCACTTCATCCTTCTCGATTTTCCACACCAGTAAACATTAACTGTTAAATGAGTGAGAAAGGCCAATCTTATACATATTCGTGGCAGACTCTCAGCTTTGTCTTTGCATTGATTTAACTTGGCATCTCAATACAATGAACCCAAAGAAAAGTAGTTCGAAGTGTTGTGTTTGTGACTTTCGTATCTACCCAGATGTAGTTTTCTATACAAAACAAATTTGTGTTGCTGCTTGTCATGTTTCGGCTTCACTTCGAAAAACTTCTAGCCTGTGTATTTTGTAATGATGGTGTGGTGGAAACACAATCACCTTTGTATCGTTAGCATTGCATAACTCTTGGAAAATGTACCCTCTAGCATTTCAACAGTGTAGCAGACTAAGTCTGCTATCCATAAGTGCAGTGGCCTTTCACTGGAATGCCGACCTTGAATTTTAACTCGAGTAACATGGCTCTAAGTTTTAGTGTTCTTGGATGTGCATTAATTCTTCTTGCTCTGGATGGAACATGCCGGAATGTTTCCTCCATTGGGCTTAGTATTTAGTACTGCATACCCAAGATATGATTATAAATACAATGTTAGCTTTGCTAGTAGAACCGCTATTTGTGTAAACCTGAAGGCTCTAGACTTTACTGCATCAAATGGCACATCATGAATTCAAGTGTAACCGTAGAAACAGCAGTAACATGACAGCTCGCTAATTGGTGTCGATGCCCCCTTCTATGCCAGCAAAGGTTTGGGCTTGTACTGACGACTGCCAGCGCAGCTTCAGCCAGTGGTGCGAGTTGGTGGTTGTTGCGCCCTGTGCCTGTGGAAGACAAGGCTCTTTTTATATTTTGTTGATGCATTGGATCTCGGCTGATTGCGGCAAGCGCATTCGTTGTTTTAACTTGATTGTATTAAATGGTTGAAATACACAACTCTTGACTGCTTCTGTAATTTATTTTGGGGATTGAGAAGTGAATAAAATTTCCTTCAGCACAGAATTTTGCTTGATTGTGGTAAAATCCAGAACTCTTCATTACTTATATAATTTAGCCGGGAAAATAAGAAGCAAACAAAATTCCTTCAGCTCAAAGAATGTTTCATTTTTATGTGCAGTAAGACGTATAACTCGCTGGTCGTGGTGTGTGCCTTCGTAGAAACTGTCAACTCTGCAGCTGCAAAATGCATGTTTTGGGCATGTAGTGCCCACTTCTTTCGTCGTTAAATAAAAACGTTTCAAAGGAAGCATTATGCAAAGCGTCAATGGATGCCGCGAGTTTAGCATGGATGCGATCTCCTGACATTCTTTCTTAGCAACTTATGTAATCTTGTAAAATATCTCTCGAATTACGCGTTTTCGTTTCTCCATTTCCTTCACCCATTGAAACTTTTCATCCACGTACCAAATTACTTTCTTCTTTACCTTGGAAGGGATTCGTGATGGACCGGCGACGTACAGAGCTATTCCTTTTTCTTAAAAAAATGGGGCACCTTAGCTCGAGCAAACATTTTGTAGATACCTTTATTCGGCGTATGCGCTGGATGGTGGTGACAGACGACACGTTCAGAACCGCGGCTCGCTGTCGCTTTTCACATGTAAGCGAGGTTTGCACGAAATACATGACGCAGTTAAGGCTGAACCGCATGTAAGCGATGCGTCGCTCGATTTTTGGATTTCCAGAGAGGCCACGTCGCTCATCACCTTCGTCGCTTGCCCCCGCCGCTTTGATGCGGTTTGCCTTGTCGCGAGAGTGACCGAGCAACAGCAAAAGGGGTTGCCGTCGTTTGTCTCGTCACTCGCCAAATGGCTTACATCGCTTAAACGACTGTCGTCGTTCGTCGCTGCCCAAAACGATCGCGGCGTAGCTGAAGCAGACGACCCCGTGTCGCCATCCACGTCTGTATTCTTCGTTTTCCCCTGTTTTCCCCAGATTCCCTCTCGAGGTACTGCTCACTCCGTTGTAGGTACCGAACTCAAGTTCTGACTTGGCTGAGACGGTTCCGATTTCGTTTCGAGCAAGCGGCTCAACCGGCGTCTTACGCTGGGTCTCAGCTGAGACCCAAGATGAGACCACACGAGAAAACAAAATGTCGGACGTGGCTACCACCAGCCACTACGCACCGGCTACAAGTCATTTTTACCGGGTGAATGCTTTCGTTAAAGCGAGTTTAAACTACTTCTACGCCATCGACGTCTTCGACAGGAAAGTGATGAAAGCCTGCCACGACTGTTTCGTTTTCGGTTTGGTGGTTTCGCAATCGCTTGTTTTCCTGTGAGCTTGACTGGTCACCCACGTCCTGGTGCAAGTGCTCAGGTAAGAAATAATATCAATAACACCACTGTTTAGTTGTGCTGTTCCGTAAAGGCAAATGTGAATAAGTTTGGCATAATTATAACTTATTTTTGCGGTTCAGTTCCTGACACAAATGCAGCGCCATCCATTCAAGAAGGAACGGAAAGCAAGACGTAGTACGTAGTCTTATTGTTCAGACGATTTTCAACCCGAGGAACACGGAGTTTGCCGAGGTACAGTTCCGAGGCAATCCTTTCTTTGTAAAATGATGTGTTTCGTGTTTAAAAACAGTCGGAAAAGCAAACAGTTTCTCAAAATGTCAGCGTCAACTCCCGACGGACGTCATGTTCCAAAACATTTTGGAAGATAGCGAGTAGCTTGATACGTTATAGCAGTGTTTATGAACCTTCGCTAGAAATTGTTATGGCGTGGCTATATATATTTGAATCGAAACTGCGCTAGAATTTTTATTGTCTGTCATGAACGAATCTCAGACATATTTCTCCACTTCAGGTGGTCACCAGCAGCGAAGCTCCTCGCAACCAACGCCGGACAAGTAGGTAGTCCTCTTGGTGGTCTTCATATGCTCACAGATCGTGAGGTGGTCGCCAAGTGGCAAGGAAGCACCCATGACCTCCACATGCTATCGCAGAGCTGTATCAGAGACAACTTCGGAGGAGGAACTTCAAACGGGCTCGTCATCGTGGATGGCGATCGGCTACGATGGCCGTGATTGATCGTGCCCTACCGCTGGGTAGACACGCCAGCGGAGTGCGCATACAACCAGGTGCACAGAAAACTGGAAAAAAAAAGTAAGGGTTAGAGGTAAGGGTTGTTTTTGAATTAGTTAGGTACAAGTACTAATCATGCTGTCTACGAATATCTCGGGGCCAACTTTTTTTAAACGGTCTGATCATACTGTGCCTGAAATAATGAGGCCGTAACTAACAAACTTTTTTCAGTACACTTCAAGTATAGTCACTGCTAGATCCTGGCCGGTAGATGACGACAATATACAATTAACTATTTATTAATTCAAGATACCAAGGCTACATGACAACGTGACAGGTTTGTTGGCTGGTGTAGGCCGTTGACTGCATGCTTTGCAATGTTCGCGCGGTGTGGCATGGTCTTCTAGGTTTGGCATCTGTTTCCAGATGGTACCACCACTCAATACACAACACTCCTTACCCCTAAGTGAACTCTTTCTCGAAGAGCTCGAGCCCCGTCTGATCTCTTCTGCCTGGCCACATCCACATCTTGCACTGGGCTCATCACCAACGTTTGCACTGCGCTGCCTGTATCCGGGTGCCCGGGTGGTTCAGGACGAGCAGCTTGCCGTTCTCCATGGCTGATGCTGTATGTTGCAACTCTCAATGCACCGCTCCTACACACCGTGTCGACAGAACGTCGCATGATGATGCCCTCCTGGGTGCGGGTTTTGTAGGAAACTGGACCCGTCATTTCAACCACTGTCTCCAGTATCCATGAAGGGCCACTGCTGTAGCTGCATATGAATACTGGGTCTTCTGTTCGAAACATTCGTGACTTCGGTTGGGCTCCTTCGCTGGAATTTTCATCAGGTCCCTTCCTCATGCTCTCAGTCAGGTCTGGGTGCAGTCGGTCAAGTATCGTCTTCGACCTCCTGTTCATCAGCATATCCACTGGGCTCTTGCCTGTCATCATGCATGGTGTTACATGCTCCTGTAGCAGAAAACTGGTCAGATGCTGCCCTCATGTTCCCTTTTACAATATGCTGTAGCGAATCTTTCGTTGTGTGCACCATGCGCTCTGCTTGTCCGTTAGTTGACGGGTGGAAGGATGCTGACGTGATGTGTCTGATGAGACCGGCTTTCAAGAATGTGCGGAATTCTTCGGAGGTGAACTGAGTCCCGTCATCCGAGACCACGGTGCTGGAGTTGCATTTCATGCGTCTACTGAGGCACGAGGAGGTGCAGGTCGTGACTCTTGGCATGCCATGCACTTGATCACATGCTCTTCTATGCTTCTGTCCATCTTGGGCCACCACACATAGCTGCGAGCCAGAGCCTTCATTTGGTCGATGCCAGGATGTCCGACATGGAGGGCCTCCAGCAACACCTTCCTGCCTTCTGGGGGAATTACGACCCTGTTCCCCCAGAGTATACATCCTTTGTGAACCGGCATCTCATGTTGTCGAATCTTGAATGGCTGGAAATTTGCCTCAAGGCCGCCTGGCAGCTAACCCTTCAGAGCCCAGTTGAGAACCCTTCAAACGGTGTTCTTTGCTGTCATTTGTGCGCCGTCCTTGGCGTGGAGCGGTGAATTGGATGTGTTCTCCAGAAACAAAACTTCTAGAGGAGGTGGCACCACAAACTCTGGAATGGTAAGTGAGAGGCAACTAAATGCATCGGCATGTTGTATGTCCTTCCGAGGTCAATGATCCAAACTGTAGTTATAAGCATTCTGTAGGATCGTCCAACGCAACATTCGTGGAGACAAGGTGTATGGCATTTGCTTTGCAGGTGTGAACAGTCCCAAAGGTGATTTGTGGTGTTATGATCTCGAAGGCAATACGTGTAGTCGTGGAACTTCTTTACGCTTGCCAGCACTGCAAAGGCTTTTTGTTGATTTGAACATAGTTTGGCTTGGTAGATGTCAATGTGCGGGAGTAAAATGCGACGGGGACCTCTTTGTCATCTTCCGGTCGACGGCCAAGTACAGCTTTAATGTATGTCTTATGGCGAGGCATCACAAGTGTGCACAAAGGGCTTTGTTTCATCATAATGGTGCAGCACACTTGCTGAGGACAGCAGCTGCTTGCGTTCGTTGAAAACTTGTTCATGAAGAGGCGTCCACTCCCACCGTGCCTCTTTGTCAAGTAGCTGACGTAGTGGCTCGGCCACTGCCGCCTTTTTCGTAGAAAGATGCAATAGAAGTTTAGCAGTCTTAGGAAAGCCTGTAGCTCCTGTTTGCTTGTTGGTACTGGTGCCTCATGAATCGCCTTCACCTTTTCTTTTGTTGGGTGCACACCCCTCTCGTCAATAAGAAATCCCAGGAACTCGAGCTGCGACACTTCAAAATGGCACTTTTCACTTCTTACCCTGAGTCCAGCATCAGCAAGACGGTGCAGGACTTCCTCGAGGTGGCCTGCCAACTCTTCTTTGGTGTTTGCAGCAATTAGAACGTTATCGAATTATGACACAACCCCGGTGATCCCCTTCAGGAGGTCGTCCATGAAGCTCTGAAAGATCCCAAGAGCAGCATTTACTCCAAACCGTAGCCACTTCACTCGAAATGCTCCTCGATGGGTTGTGATCGTTTGTGCCTCCGCCGCTTCTTCATCAACCACCAGCTGCTGTTAAGCTTCTGCCAAATCCAGTTTTTCAAACAGCCTCCCCCCCCGAGAGTGATGTCAGGAGGTGCTGTACCATGGGGATCAGGTACGGGTGTTGAGCCAGTGCCTTGTTGAAAGTGCACTTGTAGGCGCCGCATATTCTAATGTTTCCAGTTGCCTTCATGGGCGTCACAATCGGGGTCTCCCACTTTGGTTGCATGACCGGCTCGAAAACGCCTTGTTCAATAAAGCAATCAAGTTCAGCGTCAATTTTAAGCGTGAGCGCAAAGCGCATTTGCTAGGGTTTCATGCGGATTGGCATCATTGTAAAGTCAAGGTGCTGCGATACTGGGGGTCCCTCAAACTTCTCAATCTCTTACCCAAAAACGCCATCATACTTTGCAAGCACACCTTCAATAGACAGCCCTGTGACCTTATTTACCCCTAGCAGCCTGATTCCCAAAGGTTTAAACCAGTCCATGCCAAGGAGGGTTCTCCACTGTCCCTGTGTTACTGGCAGTTTCTGGTCTCCTTCGAAACCGCTGTGCTTGACATGGACCTTATACACCCCCTTGATCTGCACCGTATTGCAATGGAAATCTGACTTGCGATTGAAATGGCTCACCCGGTGCAGCATCTTCTTCATGACCTCATTTGTTTGTTCTGGGATGATCGATAACTCTGACCCCTAGTCAACTTCCATCATTGCCGACGTCCGGTGCTTACGTGTCTGCGATGCCTGTGGCGGGACCAGTTGGTTAGTATCGTACATATCATCAGATTGTGTGTTCAAGTTCAGAACGTTCGCCATGGTTTTGGATCCTTTTGTTCCCATGGCCTGCTCTGCGCTCATTGTTTCATGCGACACACACAGTCGATGCGGCCGATTTTTCTGCATAAGTGACTCTGGGCATCCTTAAATTGACAATACTCCCGTGCGTGAGCTCCTCTGCACCCATTGCAAGGCTTTGTTTTCCCGTGGTATACTGTTTCCCTGTCGGTTGCCTAAGCGTGTTTTCTCCTTCCTCTTAGTCCTGATGTATGGCAACGTTGGTTGCCACAGTTGGTTCTCCTCCCCTCACATCGTGGTGCTTTGAGCCGCCGCTTCAGCTGCCAGCACTTCTTCCTGAGCGATCTTGAACGAGAGTTTTTGTTTTTGCGAAAAGTCGAGCTTCAAGAGTTTCATCCCTCAGGTCACACATGAGTAGATCTCACAGTGTTTCCGTGAGATTTGGAAAGTTGCAGTTTTGTGACAACTGCCGTAGTTCCACAATGAATAAGGCCACAGACTTCTCGGGACCCTGATTGGGCCGGTAAAGGCATTCTGGCGTACAATCTCCGACGGTTGACTGAAGGTCTTCGTTTTGGGAGTTGCCAACGCGAGTATACTATAGTGACTGTACTAAGTCAAAAATGGCACCACCGCAAACGCTAAAAAAAAAAAAAAAAAAGCACGTTTTCTGGTTGGGTTGGTGATATCGTTTGCCTCGAGGTGGAAGTTCAATCTTGCCTCGTAGGCGTCCCACTTCTCCGGAAACGCAGGGTTGAATTCTCCTATCTGTCCCAGGGTCGCCATTTCTTGTCGAGGGTACAAGGGGGGTACCCGAACAAAGGGCGATGTTCACAAACCTTCTGCCTCACCTGTACGTTCCGATGTGGGGCCGTAGAGTGCGGCAGTCTCTATGCAATCTTATCCTCATCACCACATGATAGATCCTGGCCAGTAGATGATGACCGGATAACATGAACTATTTATTGACTCAAGATACAAAGGCTACGTAATGAAGACATGATAGGTTCACTGGCTGGCGTTGGCCGTTGACTGCGTGCGTTGCATTTTTTCCGCGGTGTGGCGTAATCTTCTAGGATTGCGGTCCGTGTCCCCGATGGTGCCACCACTCTACACACAACAGTCACCATGAACAGTCTGTTGAAACTGTGGCTATTGCCAGAAACTTTCGAATAGGACACTGAAGTAAAAGTTTTTGTCAGAAAAAATGGGTGATTACAAGCACAGAGACATCAGGACCATTCAGCAGATGGGGAGGGCGACAGTGGTGGGGGGGAAGGGCAAGTTTGCACTCCTCCCCCATACCTTTTCCATTAAATTTCTGACCTGTAGGGGGGGCAGTCTCTCCCCCGCCCCCCTATTTCGTTTCGACGCCACTGTACAAGCAGAATGTGATTACAACCATCATGTCTGTAGTCGACTGTATACTGGTGGTTGAGGCGACGGCCATTTGCAGCGAGAGCTATGGTAAAATGCGCCTGATTCAGCTGTAGCACTTGCTATGTATCGCGGCGATAGTTTCATTGAGTCGCCCCGCAACAGAGTAACCGTCAAAGAAAAGAAAGTCCGAGTGGCAGAGGAGGGCTGCGGCTGCACAGTTGGCAGGCCTCTTCGTGGCGGTGCATTGACAACACTTTTTAACATTTATGTTCACACACTCTTTGCATCAGCCTTGCCTGTTCGTGATAACGGTGCCCTTTGCCTTTATCTTCATGATGTAGTTTCCATGTTTTGAGCGCACCTTCGGGGCCTCCTCGCCGAGTACGGGAAGCATGCCTCGCCGCGAGCTCGGCCAGGCAATGATCAGTCGGCAGTGGCCCCCAAATGCATGCTCGCTGAAACGCTGCCACCGAAACATCGGCCTTTGCGGTCCATGACATATGGATCCTTGCATTGTTTATCAATACTTCACTAACTCATAACTTTACTATGAGTGGCGTCTAGAGCCGCTGGTCAAATAATTGCAGGATTCCAGTTAGGCCTTGAACCGCATATTTAAATTTGTTCTTCCGACACAATAGCCTTTCGCATCAAAACTTTGTCGGTGGCATATTGGAACTTTCTGCTCGTAGCACACTTTACCAACGCCGAAATATCCCGTACAGGCTGGTTGAATGTCGTCATCGTAAGTTTGGCACAGTTTTTCAAGTTCGCATGCCAAAAACCAGGTAGTTTTGTAGAAAATATGGTGCACATCAGTGCATGTCCGGGCAATTTGTGGCATCCTATGCCTTGGTAAGTGCTTCCATGTGGTGGGAAGTCAATCACCAGCATGGTGCGGGGCCCCCGTTTGTTTGCCGTCTGATAAGCAAGTTAGTTGCTTTGTTTTATATGAACCACAGGCAGCCCAAGGAGTTGTGGCTACTTTTCGATACAGTGCAGTCAAACGCACTGAAACGAAACTGTGTGTATGGGCCTTTACGCCGCTGCGCTTCCATTTTGGACCTGCAGTTTGTACTTTCTTTCGTTGTCGTTCCCACTCGGCTTTGACGTCAGTGGATCATAGATGAAGGTTGCTCAAACATAAAAAGGGAGATGAATAGTTGGGTGTTTTGGCTGAATATGCCTTAAGCAACTTCGACAAAGGCAGCAAGAAGGGAGATGATTGTAAGGATTGCAAAGGAAAAAAAAGCTTTGATGCTGACTGCATGCCACGTCGGCGGTGACATCGCTCAGGCCTGTACAAATGCAATGGTGCGCAAGGCAAACATTTTTTTTTTGCGGGTGCGGTCTTTACGCGTGTTTATTACACTAATGACTTTCACTTTTACTTAGCTGAGTGTGTAAAAGTCGTTGCATTTTTTTATGATGCATCATTTCTTTAGTTTTTCATGTTGCTAAATGAAATACATAATGCAGTGGAATTTTTTTGCATACTTGGAACCAAAAAGACATTGAAGAGAACTAACCAAAAAAAAACTGTGTATTGTATTTACAAAGTAAAGCTAAAACGGCAGTGCCTCTTTGCCAAACTGAAGGCCCCTCCTCCCCTTTAAGGGTCTTGTTGTAGGGCCTTCCCAAGTAACATGAAAATTTTTTCTCCTTGTTCAATATAGAAGTTTGCAGCCTTTTTCATCATTTCGGCAGCCTCGCAGGCTGCCCTTGCTGCCCTTGCCTGCTCTTCCGTCGCCTTCAGTTTGGCAAGGAGGCACTGCCGTTCTAACTTTACGTTCTCGTGTTGTTGCTCCATGATGTCCCTATAAAACTGTTTGTCCGCAGCCCGTGTGCTGGCTGCCGAGCCTGCGGGTGGTGCGCTGGGTCTCCAGACCGGTCGTGAACGAGGTGGTCCCTGCCGGCCCAGTGGTGCCGGTCGCCCTTCAGCAGCAGCTGCTGCCTCAGGCGGTCCCCCTGCCACAGGAGGAGGCCCCTCCCGACGTAGCAGCGCAGCTGCTGCACCAGGCTCCACGGGTGCCTCATCCTCGTCCATCGGCCAGTCCGGAGGCTCGTAGTCCTGCGTTTCTTCGGACTCCGGCACCTCGAGGAATGCGACCCCGGGGTCCACTTCAACTTCGTAGTTCAGGACTCTGTCCTCTCCAACCTCCTCGTCAGTAATTGGCTGCACGCTGACTGCTGCTGTCCTGGCCCTAAGGAAAATACACCAGAATGTCAGTCTTGTCACCCTTGTACATAATTTGAAACACTCTTATTTGTATTTCATTCATGCTTTTTGTGTGCATGTGGATCAAGCTCGACTCCTCAGCTCTCGGCCATTGCTGCTATTAGTTGTGAAAGTATGTGGGCTTTAGTAAAGCCAGCCTACAGTGTGCAGGTCAAGCCCGATCTTGACTGTTGCGGCTATTAGTTGTGAAAACAGCTGGCTTCATGGAGATCCAGTGTGCAGTGTTGATGCCGGCCAGATATTTCTGGTTGCTTGTCCCTACAATTCTGTTTTATGTCAAAGACTACCATGTTGAGCAACAGATCTGCTCAGGGTGATTCCAAATTTAGTGGTAGTGTCTACTGGTCGGTGCTTAATAAATTGTACTCACTGTACACCATATTTGAACTGACTGCTCAGGATTACTTCTGATTTCTTTTATTTATCAATACTGTTCACCCTTTCAGGGTGGTTTTATTTCAGAAAAGACATTCCTCATGGTATGCAATGTGCATGTTGGAAGTGTTGCAAGAGCTTGACGTCAGCATATGCTCAGCAGCAGCGAACTCAGCTGTGACAGTGAATGCTACCCACGAAATGAGCGAGATTTCAGAGCACTAATCTCGCACAAATATGTTTATGCAACAGACTGTCTCAGCTTTGTGCCTTCATTCATTTGACTTGCCGTCTCAATACAACGGACCTGAAGCAAATGAGGTCCAAGCTTTGTGTCTGTGACCTTTGGGTCTACGTAGCAGTAGAATTTTCAACATAAAACAATATATTTTTTTGCTGTTTGTCATAGTTCAGCTTGACTTCATAAACGTCTAGCCTGTATACGGTAGTCTTGCGATAATTCAAACTCTGATATTATACTTCTGGTTAATTCAAACAAATTTCCTAAGTTTGGTTGTCTCGCTATGTTCTTAGTGTATCCATATGCCACTTAAACCGAATTCCGTTTTCCTGTAATTCATATTTTTTGTTCTTGCAGCCCTTTTGTTGAGTGTGCTTCTTTCCGAGCACCGGTACAATGCAGAGGGAACACCCATGGAGCTGTTGCTTCTTTGCAATGCACCGGTGCTCGGTGATAAGCGCACTCAACGGGGCTCATGCGGAAATTTCTACAGCAACTTGCGCAGACGCTGTGATCTGGTAGCATGGCGTACACCGAGCGCCGGCACATTGCGGAGAAGCAACAGATCCATGGGTGTTCCCTCTGCAGTGCACCGATGCTCGGAAAGATGTGTACTAAACAAAATGGCTGCAAGAACAAAAATAATGAATTACAGGACAACGGCATTGAATTTAAGTGGCATAGCATGGGCAAGTCACAACGTCCTCACAAGTTGCTATGAAAACCGTGGTGCAGTGACCGCTTTTATTGTTCACTTGTCCCCCGTTTAATAGTTCACACTAGACAACTTCTTGACCCGATGAACAAACTGAATTTCGTTTTGAATTGTCATGTGCTCTTTGAACAGCCCACAACAATGAACATTTTTGAGGGATAAATAAACTTTTGTCTTACATTTCACGAATGTTTCATGTGTAGCATACCTGGTTATGATCAGTAGGCCTATGTAAAGGAAAGCATGAAATATCTTCTGTGTATGTGAAGCCACTCATAAGGCAAATCATATATTTATCTTGCATCATTATTTAGATAAATTTCTGATAAATCAAACAAAATTCATGGCTTCCTGGAGTTTGAAATCATGAGAGTATAATGTATTTTGTAATGGTAGTGTAGTAGAAACACAATCCTCTTTGTCTTGTTCGGATTGCATGATACCTTTTTAAGATATACCTTCTACCATTTCAGCAGTGTACCAGCCTAAGTCTGCTATCATTTTTCTTTCCCAAACTTTCAAGACTCGGCCAACGGCGCTTGCGATGTTCAGAAGACTGCGTCGTCCTCCCCATGTACATGTCGGCTCATAATCACCATCATTTTAATCTTGCATCTCACAAGATTAGGTCGTGATCTTACATCATCACATAATCACCGTCAGAAGATGTGGCATTGCGGGCGTACTTTGCACGGGCTGCTGCCTTTCTGCAGTGCCGTGGCTCTCCTAATCCAATAATTACTATTATTATTATTCTTGTTTATATTATTTTTATGATCATCATTGATGAGCGCAGTGGTCTTTCATTGACATGCCTAGCTCGACTTTAACTTCAGGTAACATGGCTCGAAGTTTTAGAGTTCTTGGATGTGCACGGTTCTTTCTTGCTCTGGAGAGAACACACCAGAACATTTCTTTGAGTGGCCCAGTATTTAGTACTTGCGAACTTCAGATATGATTATGAATACAATATTAGCTTTGCTAGTAGAACCCCCAATCGTGTGAATCTCGAAAGGCTAGACTTCGTACAAATAGCAGTAACATGACAGCTCACTCGTCGGTGTCTACGCCTCCTTCGATACCCAGAAGGTTGGGGCTTGTGGAACCGATGACCGCCAGCACAGCCTCAGCCAGCGGTGTCAGCGTGTGGTCGTTGCGCCCTGCGCCTGTGGAAGACAAGGTTCTCTCTATATTTTGTTTGAGCATTAGATTTTATCTGATTGCAGCAAGCACATTCATTGTTTTGATTTGATTGTATTAATAGCTTGATATCTTAATTTCTTCTATAATTTAGCCAAGAAAATGAGAAAGTGGATAAAAAACTTCTTTAGCCAACAGAATGTGTGCTTCATTTTTATGTGTAGTAAAAACATGTATAGTAAACTCACCGGTCGTGGAGTGTGCTTTCTTCGAGAGGGTCAGTTCCGCGCGGCTGCGAGATTTGAGGTTCTGCCACTGCTTTTTGAGTTGCGGCACAGTGCGCAGCGTCGATGGATGCCGCGAATTCATCACGGATGCGATCTCCTGCCACGCTTTTCTTTTAGCAGCTTTTGTAATATTGTTGTTAAATTTGTTCTTAATTATACGTTTTCGTTTCTCGATTTCGTAAACCAATTGAAACTTATCATCTTCGGACCAATTTGATTTCTTTACCTTGGGAGGCATCCGTGATGGACCGGCAACATCCATGTCTGCGTGCAGCAAACTCAGACGGTCGTCTGCTAACTTAATGATCGAAACATAATTATCAACTTTTATTGCAAATGCTTCCGAGAAAATACGTCCAGCGCATTTTTTTTTCTTAAAAAATTGGGCATTAAGGACACGCAGGCATTTATGTAAACAACTTTATTCGGCGTACGCACTGGACGTCGACGACGGTGGTGACAGACGATCGCGATACGAAGCAATATGACAGCGTTGATGCGCACTAAACTCTACCAAAAACCGCGCATCGCTGACTCTTTTTTTTTTTTTTTTTCTATTTTGCACGGAACCACGGTATGTACGAGACATGTGCCGCAGTTTTGCGACTGTCGTCGTTTCTCTTTGCCCAAACCGATCCTAGCGTAGCAGAAGCAGACGATCTCTCGCTTGCCGCCTCGCGTCGCCGGCGCTTTCTTATTGGACAGGAGGTCACAACTCGTCACTTAAACGTCCGGAATCTTCGGCCGTGTTCCAAAATTTACTCGGTCTCACTCTAGGGTAAAGGTTTTGTACCTTTGCGATCGAAAACCTACCCGAATCCGGCATTACTCGATTTTTGTTGTCACGTGACATGATCTGCCAGGGTAACTCGGATCCACTCGAGTAGATTTGGAACGCACCCTCTGTTTTCTCCGGTATTTCTTCAGTTTTCCCTAGATTCCCTCTCTAGGTACTGCTCACTCCGTTCTTGGCGGTCTGGGTGCCAGACTCAAGTCCGGACTTGAGTCAAGACCGCGCCGAAGACCGTGCTGGATCCGTCTTGGTCTCAGTCGCGGTCTCAAAAGAGACCGCCAGGCGCCTGAGTCAAGACTTGAGCCAAGACTTGAGGCAAGATTTCTAGCAAGCGGCCCCTGATTTTGTCTTTGTTTTCATGGACGTTGATGTTGAATCTACAGAATATATTTTAGAGCGCAGCTCTTTGGCACCCGTTTCCGGGTTTAGAGGCGTCGTTGACGGCATCGGCGTAACCGTGAGCGTTAAATTATGTTACGTGACAATTTCCCCGCTATATTTAGCGTGGAAACTGATGTCACGTGAACTAAACACATATTCAGTTTCCTCGCTAAATTTAGCGGGAAAAATTAACTCGTGAAATTTAGCGAGCAACTTTTCCCGCTAAATTTAGCGGGTAAATATTCCCTGCTGGACTTAGCGGGGTAATTTTCGCTACATTTAGCGGGAAATTTGGCGGAAATTTCCCGCTAATAAGGAGGGGAGCAGGAGAGGAGGAGGAGAGGGGGAGGAAGGGGAGGAGCGGCATACCTTCCCCTCTGTACCCTCTTCGCCTCCTTCTCAAGAGCTGCGCTCTTATTTGGCGTTACAGAAAATTGTAAACGACTTTCCTTTTTTTGTGTAACAATTCAAAACGGTCACCGGACAAGTCGGCCAAACTTGTCTGAAAACACCCACAATCATTTCGATGCACAACGCCCAGATGGAAATCAGCCATGCTCAATAGAACACACATCTTTGAAGCAAAAATTTAGATGACGCCTCATACGAAGGGAGGCTCATCGAAGTGAGTGAGGGAGGAGGCGGGGGAAGCCCCCCCCCTGCGCACTAGTTCTACAACTGAGGTAATTTAGTAACGTTGAC